GAATCCAGGATAAACCGAGATAATTGCTTTAGCAGAAATCCAATAAAACATTTTATACACATCCTTAATTCTCAATGTATCGTTTCTTTTATTTATTTATTTTTTTGATATATCTATTTTAGTTAATGACAAAAAATCCTCAAAAACGCCTTGGTTGTCATCCATTAGATGGTGAACGTGAAATAAAAGAACATCCATTTTTTCGTCGTATTGATTGGCAAAAAATTGAAGCACGTGAAGTTCAACCACCATTTAAACCTAAAATTGTATGTATTATGTAACATATATATATATAGATGAACATATATAATTTCAATTAAATAGTTAAAACCATTATGTTTTCTTTTTCTTTTTTCTCACCTCTAGTAGTAGTAGTATTCGTGTTGTGTATTGTCTTGTTTTAGAACAATCCTCGTCAAGCGGAAAATTTTGATAAATGTTTTACAAACAATCCATTTAAAAAGACAGAATGTGATAAACTTGTACTTGCTTCAATTCATGATGATACATTTCAAAATTTTTCTTGTTATAATTCACATTTCATCAGTGGTCTAAAAATAAAATAATAAGAAAGATAAAAGACAGGAATTTATTTTAATTAATGAACACATTTTTGTGTCATTTTATTTTATTTTTTTCTCTTCAAATCATTTGTCTACTAGTCGTATGTATACGCAAATTTTCGTCATATGTTATTTTTCTTTTTGCACTAAGAACCGGTTTGTTTGTTGTTGTTTTTTTTTCTTCCTTTTACAAACGAATGACAATTGTCAAAAACAAATAAGCAAATTATCAATCAGAATAAATATATATATATATATATTTTATGCTTATTCCATTTTCTTTCTTTTTTTTTTGTTTCTTAGTAGTTCTATATATTTGCATGTCATTGCTTTTATTTCGTATGTTTCTTCTTTTTTTTTTTCTTTGGTAATTCTTGTTTATGTCAAGATCTGTCAGTATATTTTTTTTTCTGTTCATAGATTTTCATGTTGCTTATGTTTGTATTTGTGCCTTGATGTTATTATACATTGGTTATTTATAATGATATGTATGTTTAAAAATTCTGTGACATTCAATTTATTTTAAATAATTTCTGAGATCGATAAATGAAATTAAGATAAATATTTATTATGAAAATCAGTGAATGATCTAGAAAATGATTACACAGATAATCAAAAAGTTTTTAGACAAGATATTTGTTCGCTATTGACTCAGTAGTAAAACCTATCGGGTTCTAGGCCAACCCGATAGGCTCTATCCGCTAGAAAATATTTCCAATGAGTCAAAAGCTATGAGTTAGGACGCTATTTTCGAAAATGGGCTTAGAAATTTTCTCTCAGTTTTTGTTCGAGAATAGTGAAATAATCTTTGAAAACTTGTATTTTCATTATTGTGATTCGAAACTAAAAGTTAGAATCATGGTTGTAGATTAGAAGGTACCCTACAAATTACACTATTTGAAGTTTTTTTTTTTTTTGTCTTTCGACGAGACACCTCAATTTTCGTTTTTCCTAAGTACACATTTTTGAAAAATCGTTTTCGTACTTGAGATATCGATAAAAAGCTGTGGTCCCGCCAGGTCAAGTGAGAGTTTCAGCCTCAAATTTTACATGAACAAGGTCCTTAATGACTCTACAACATTTAAGTTTTTCGATATTCCTTTTCTGAAAATGTAAATATATGATCAAACTTTGCTTTTACACATGAGAGAATTTCCAATATTGAATATCTCAGGATAGGAGTTACAACTTGTCCAATGAATTAATCTCATTAAGAACTTTGTTCGTGCAAAGTTTGAAGTCGAAACTCTCACGTAATCTGAAGAAGACTACAGTTTTTTGTTGAAAAACACAGTAAAATTTTGATATCTCAAGAACGAAGGTTCAGAAAATCAAATAATTCGAGATCTTTCTATTACTCACCAGTACTCATCAAATAAACATCGTTTCGATCGGAAAGCACTTTGGCACCTGGAGAGAATTTCTAAATCTATGTTTGAAAAAACACGAAATTTTAGTCCTAACTCATAGCTTTTGACTTGTCAAAAATACGCTCTAACGGATCAAAACTGAACAAACATATTATCTAAAAACCTTTCGAACACCTACTATGACTCTTAAAGAGTGAAATATAAATATGAAATTTCACTATCATTACAAATAATAACGGATAATAACATTTCTTAGCGAAAGAAAACTTGCTAGCAGTTTTTTCTTATAAATATTAATATTTATTAAGAAGTTTTATCGTTGAGGAGTGCGTAATGATTAAGAGACACTTCTGCATTTCGATAGCATACTGTTTTCCTAGTTTGTTTATTTACTTTGCTTTATTTAATTGAGTAAATGAATACATTAGGCTAATATATAGAGCCATTTCATCTGTCAATTATCTTCACTTTATAACACTTTTTGAGTTTTTAGTATCACAGTTTGCGATAGAAATATCGAATTTTCGATGCATCATATCTGTTTGTTTACTTTTCATTAATCATATCGGCTTATTGTATTGATGTTAGACTGAAACTGTGATTTATTTTTAGCAGTTCGATTGAAATCTAATAGTACTGAAAACTAGTGGTGTAACTAAGGATGAGTTAGGTTGGACGCCACCAGAAAAAAGAAAATCGTAATAATCATCATAATTGATACTATATTACATGGATTTTTTCCAAGATCATACATCACTGCCCTATCATCCAAGGCTAGACCTTAGACTACTACTGACAGCTACCCATTGTTGAATAAAAGTAGTTAATTATCTATTACTTAATGTATTATATTGTTGTTTTGTCAGAGATTTTCATTTAGGCAAATATAAAGTCCAAAAACATGATGATCGTCGATATTTTTGCAACAACTCATGAACGGAAAGAACTAGAGTACTGCGGTTTTCACTATTCAAGACAGAAGACTCGAGATCATCAAAGTATATTGAAATTTAAACGATCAACAATTGACTAATCAGATGAGTTCTTGATGAACATTTTCGAACACAATATTCTGAAGCTATTTCCCCTTCAATTGAGACTTAATAAGACTATTCGATGGAAAAAATTCTTCTCGTTCATTCTACGCAAAGCCGAGATTCCGAGCGTGTTCCATTCGAGAGTAATTAGACTTTTCTTAAGGCCCCTGATTTCAGCCAATTGGTCTATATTCACTCGACAAAACAGCTAGGCAGGGGTTATTCACCGTGTTGAGCCAAATGGTGATATTTGTTTTAGGTTCAAATGATCTGACACTGTTATTTCAATATTCCTGAATTGTCGACTCCTTTACATGAGGGCTGATTGTGAAATTTTCGAAATAGTAAGATAGCAGAGTCAGATCATTGTGAACCTAAAACCAAATATCACCATTCGTCTCTGCATGATGAACTACTGCTGTTTAGTTGCTTTTCCAAGTGATCACAGCTAATTTGAAAAGGAAATATCTTCAAAACATCGTTTTCGAAAGTCTCTATCAAGAACACATCTGAATAGTCAACTGTTGACAATCCAATTTTGATATACTTTAATAGCCCCCAATTTCGAAATTTTACTATAATGATTGAACAAACATTTTCTCTAGTATAATCTTCTTCGGAATCAATTTATTGAATATTATCGAAAGTTATGTTCAGTGTTTCTCATACATTCATTATCTTGCAATAGTTCCTCTGTTGCTGTTTGTTTTGACTAATCTATTGTACTTTTCATAAAATGAACAACTTATAAATATTAAAGAGTTCGATTATAGTAACTTAATTATTGAGATGTTGCTTTTGTTTTATTTTATAGGCAAGTTATCATGATACATCAAATTTTGAGGAAGAATTTACAACTGAACCTCTTAAATTCACGCCTTGTGACAAACAACTTATTATGAATATTGATCAAAATGAATTTGCATCATTTTCACATGTTAATACGGTATATGAAATAACACCACCTGTAACTTTCGTTACTTTTTAATAAAAAAACATAAAACAATAATAACAAATATTACAATGTGGTCTTACATCAAAAAAATTTAATTGTCATAATTAATAGTGACTAATAACAAAAGTATTTCTATATTGTGTGTTTTTGATGTTTGTCTGTATTTATCATATTATTTGTTCTTATAATCCTTTTGTTTTTTTATCTATGTTAATTTGACCTCGTTCTTTATTCGTTTTAAACTATATTTATTTAAAATAATAAATGTGTATTTGATGTTTTATTCCTTTTAACAAATGTATATTTGTAGAACTAATGAAATAACTGCTTGAACAAAAAAAATCATGACATTCAAACATAATTTTTTACATTTTCATTGAATTGCAATTGTAACTTTAGAAATTACAAAAAAATTTTCAAATTCAAGTTAATGATTCCGGTACCCAGAAAACTCAGAGAAATGGTAAGATCTTGAAAGCAAAAAACCGGCGGCAACATTTTTCTAATTACGATCGTAGCTGACCACCAGATTTCTGCTTCAAAGTTTCTACCATTTTTCAGCCTAAAACGGTCGGTATTGGTTGAAATGAGTATTATTCTTGGATGAACAAAAAAAATTTTCTCACAGATGACTCGTGAGGCGCAGCCAGTTTTTGTATTTTTATCATTTAGTACGTTTTATTCAAAAACAAAACATATTACAAGATGCAACGTGTAAAAAGTTCTACCAATCACAATAAAAATCTTATTTTATATGTGTCTTTTATTTTTTTTTAAATGGATCGAATTTTATTGCGACTAATTGTCGACACTTTGAATGATTGCCTGTTTCAAAATATAGTGTCCTCCACTGTTTTTTGAATAACTCAGCTAGAGACTTACGGTTTTCATCAATCGATAGAACACTTCAGGAAACACAAGTCTATAGAAGAATCAATCTTACTTTGAAGGTGATGGATTTTCTAAATCTTTCAAACATTAGACTATAAGATTATGATCTCTCAATAGGTTTTTTTTTATTCTTGTAACATGAATGGAGAGACTGGCGCATCTCCTATCGATCTACCCAAACCCGACTTTGATAGCTACTGTGATTCAAGAGGTAAATCAGTTTTATTGAAGATTACTGATCTCCTTATCTTCTACTTCGTGTTCTCCACACAAAACAATCATTGCTGACAGATTCATCGTAGTTGATTAACTCTATTTACATCGATATTCAGATTACTCTAACGTGAAGATGAGGTGATGAGTGAACTTCAGTAAAAATGATCTATCTCTTGAACTACAATAGTTATCAAAGTCGAGTTTCTGTAGATCGCTAGGAGATGCTCCAGCTTATTTATCCATCGTATAAGAATTAAAAAACTATTGGGAGATCGTAATCTTATAATCGAATCGTTGAAAGATTTAGAATATGCAGCACTTTCAAAGTAAGATTGGTTCTTCTATAGACTTGTCGACTAGTGAAAATCGCAGATCTCTAGTTGATTGCGTTCTTGAGTTATTCAAAAAGCAGTGTAGGACACTATATTTTGAACCGAACAATACTACCTTGATCGATCGATAAGAAAAAATATTTCTCTTTATAAAATCCAAGTCATAATATGTACTGTAGCTCCTCTTTGAAACTTTCAAATTTCTCTAGATCGATAAATTTAGCATATAGATATAGGAAAACTTGAGTAAAATTTTATGCAGAATGTCGATATATTTTGCTCATAGCAATAAAAAAAATCCTCTTTTTGCGGTATCAACTGAATCGAATCGATTTTGGATTTGAAATTTTGTCTATAAAGAGGTCTTATGAACACTAGAATATACTGTAAGTTTCAGATAAAACGAGTGTATCTTTCTTGAGATAGTAAATGTTCAAAAAACGACTGTCTTCTAAGATAAATTTTTCATTTCATGCAAGAAATAGTCGATTTTTGAAAAAATCCATTATCTCACGAAGAATGTACTCCTTTTGTCTGAAACTTACAGAATATTCTAGTGTTCATAAGACTTCTTTATGGACAAAATTTCAGGTCCAAAGTCACTCACTTACTACTGCTACTCACATGACATTATAAGTCAAAAAATCAGTAAACCAGTCATAATTTCATCCCAAAGCAATAAAGAGACGAATTAACTTGAGGTATTTCACTACTCACTAGAGTCTACAAGATAAAAGTAGTCCAAATCCAAAAGTTTTTTATCACTTCGAGAGATTCCCTCATAAGTGATAAAAAGAAAAAATAGAAAAATTGGTCACCATCCGTTGTTTATAGTAAAGAAAGATAATCACTCAATTGTTCGATATTTACAGCTATAATAAATAAGTCAGTTATTTTATGACTATATAATTAATATTGATAGATATGATCTAATTTTGTTTGAAACACATCTTCATTAATATAACACACAATCGAAAATGATTATATTGAAGTTACATATGAAATGAAATTATTTGAAAATATGAAACATAAATAATTACAAGAGTATTAAAAGTTTAAAACAAAAAAAAACGATTATTTTTAATCAGTAATGTAATTTACAAGTAGAGACGAGTTTCCAATTGTTATTTCAAAACACAGTTCACTTACCAGTCCGACAGCATTGAACTATATATACTATGATTTATGATCGGAATAAATAAGCAATGCGAATATCTGTAAATACTTCAACAGAATATAGAACTTCTCAAATTCGTTTAGTTATGAAAGTGAAACAAATATCATACGATAATATCAATTTTATTTTATTTATTTAAATATTCGTTTAATGATTTCAATAAATAAATGCGGTTTTTTATTATTATATATTTTGTCTCATTAAAAGGAAGAAAATAGATTGCACAATATTAGAAGGTAATATCTATGAACGAAAAAAAAAATAATAATAATTAAAAAGACACAAAGGGAATGTAAATAAGGTAATACAATTGATTCTTGATGGTATATTCGATATAAATAGAAGGAAAAATATTGATCACATATACACTTGAAGAATAAAAAACGAAGAATTGCACGAAGAAAAGAAAACAGAAATATGGAAAGATAAAATGTAAATCGTAATTTATTTCTTATTCATATCAATATAATCAAGATCCAATTTGAAGTAAACATATGAATAATATTCTTGTTGTGAAGAAAATACACCGGGAATGTCAATTTGCTATAATAGAAAAATACAATTAGAAAAAGAAAAAGAAAAAAAAGAATATTATTTTACTTCATCATGTTTTGATTTATTCGATTGATCAAGATAGCCAAATAATTGATCAAGTGCATCACGTAAACGTTTTGTTGATTTTCGTGTTGGATGAATAACCATAGCAACAAAATTAACTGGTAAACCAAATCTATTTAAGATAAGAATAAAACAATATATACGAAGACATAATTTCACAAAATTAAATTACATATATTTCGGGATCATGAACTTTCCTAGAGCTAATTTTCAGATGTTACATGTATGTGAAGTATAAGCAGCAAAGCAACGTCAATTTAGTTTTTATGTGAAACTTTTAAGATATCATAAGAGCTATTATTGAGAAGAATTTCAGACCGAAACTCCCTGTTGTGATATCTTGTGTCATAAGCTGAAATTTCAGTAAAATAACCATAACTAGAGAAGGAAGACCTAATGGTGCGAATCCTTTCAAAATTTTTATCTACATTAGAAGAAAAACAATGAACTCAAACAGAGATTATAAGTCAAATGGATATCGATTATGTTTTTGAATACACATTCTATTAATTAGACTTCAAGGTACTGTGAGAACAGTGACATTTTGTTCAATTCATTTAAAATATTTTAGCAAAATAAATGTTCTGAAGAGAGTTGAAATATATTTTCAAAAAAAGGCTGGTTTTTTTTTGTTGTAGATGCTTCCAATAGACAATTTCGGTCAAGTAAATATTTATAAAGGATTTTGTAAGTGTATTGAACATGAAGTAGTATCATGTTATTTAAGTGTTCTCTTAGAACTTGAAAACAGTTTGTAAAGGAAGTAGACATCATTCATTATATTACATAAAATAGTCTATAAAATTGTTTTGTTCCATTATTTAAACTTAAAACTAATCCAAAAAAGTTATTCGATTCTATTGAACTAATAATTTTGAATGAAGTTTTTCTACAATAGATCTTTTAGTTTGAAGTTTCTGTATTCAGATTCAAAGCTAATTGTAAATCATGTCTAAAACTTACGATAGAATCTCTTTCGATTTCAATGATTTCTTTTTTTTTTGCTTATAAATACCACACATAGTAAACTTTAAAATGCAAAACTTCAGATCAGAATTCGAAAATACGAACTTTCTAAAAAATTGGGGCTTCTACAACTTAGTCAAATATTAAGAGGCATTGAAATCGGAGAGGGAAGACATCTGAGGATGTTCTCTTATTAATGTAAATATAAATTTTTGAATCCGAAAGGACCTTCACTTCTCTCGTATCAATTCGATAATCTTAACTTGAAAGTTATTTAATATGAATGAATATATATAATCTTTATACCTAAGAACAGACTCGACGAAAACTCGTAATGCCTTGATATGCATAGATGCTGAAAAAATTTCACCAAAATTAATTTTAAGCCAACGAACAAGATTAGCATAAAGTTTTTGTCGTTCAGTTTCAAGTTCTCGAATTTTTTCACGTTCATTTGCCAATGCTTTTTCATCAAATGTAAATTCTCGTACAGTAAATCTTAAATAATAATAATAATAATAAAAAAATTCACCACAAATGTCTTTTTTTTCTTTTTACTTATTTTCTCGACATTTATGTTTAAATGTATCTTCTGTTTTTTGAAATAATGTTACAGTAAATAATGCATAATCTTGATCTTGTGTTACTAATTCTGTTGTACGTGGTACAATCATTGTACATAATGATTCATATTTAGCATGCCAATCATTCATTAAAGTTTTTGGTACACAAACTAATAATGTTTTTAAATATTCACTACCCAAGACAAAATGTTCTTTTTTTAAAACATCATTTAAATTACGTGTTAATAAACTACCACTAGAAAGAAAACAAAAAAAAAGTCTATTTTTATTAACAAAAAAACATTAGAGAATAAATAACATACGATTGTTTTTTTTCTAATGATTCCAAATTTTGCTTAACACTATTGTATGATTGACTACGAAGTTTAAGTTCGCTTTCAATATGACTTGCTGCCTATTAAAGATGAATATGTTAAATGAGTGGTGGTGTCGGACAAAAAAAAAATTTATAGGATTATCAGATTAAGATTTACATAGCTCGTAAAATTTAGGGGTGGTGCAACGAGTCTTAGATTGATTTCGATTTTTTTTTTGATGTCCGAGAATCCGCCGAATGTAGATTTCTCGAAATTTTGGAGTTCAATTTTCTCGTTCGAGAAAGGCTTATAAAATTTAGCTATTTAGACTTCCGCTGATCGTAAACTTGAAATGAATTGAACATTTAGAATAGTGTGATTATTCAAACCATATGAAGAATAGACTTTCGATTTCAAATTTTGTACGAATAAAATTCTTAATGAGATTAGTTGATTGTACAATTAGTATTTTCCTTTAAAAATGATACTGAAACTATTTTTAATTTGGAAATTTCTACAGAAGATTGCAAGAGATACGCAACGTTCGTTAGATAAGAGATTCAAATAAATTTTTATTAGTGTAAAATTTGAAATATTAACATTCACATTTAAAATCTAGACTTTTAATCATGTATAATAGTAAAGTTGTCTTTTCTCTTTAGGACGAAGTAATCGTGAATATTTTCCTCAAATGTTTACGATGAAAATTCTTCCAATGTCAATGATTTTTTTTTTGCCATAGTATTCTCTAATAAAAACCCTAGAAGAATTTCGGTTCCTATTAAGATTTGACTAAGCTATCGAATTTTAGTCTGAACCTTTTGCGCACACAAGTTATGAAAAAAGTCTCCTCGTTAATCCTATTCAATTTAACAGTTAGAATTGAATTTTTATTGCCGGCTGATAAAACGATCGTCTCTCAATATGAAAACTAAAATACTTTATAAAACAAAAATTAAACATATTATTGAAAGAAATAAAATTTACTTTTGCAATAATTTCCGAAAGATTTTTTAATGATTGTTTTGTTGGATATTTTGCATGATCCCATTGAAATTCGGTTACATAACGGATTGGATCAACTAAATTTTTATTTATTTATTTATTGAATTAAAATAATAAAAATAAGAGCATACCACCATTTTGACCAACAACAAGATTTTCAGCAAGACGATTACGATCATCTTCGAGTACGTCATGAAAAAAGAATTGAGTTAATTTTTTTGTAACTCTAAAAATTTATTATTGTTTTTTTCTTTTGATTTATAATAAATATTTTATTTTATTTTTTTACCCCTCAATGTATCCGTCAAGTCGAGCAAGGTCATCCGAAAGTGCAACAAGTGAATCGAGTGTACCAACCTAAATAAATAAAGAAAGTTAAATTATTAATTTTTTTTTTTTTGTTTTATTTAACCTTTAAATCAGGAATATTAAATACATAATTTTGTGATAATTGATCACGTCCAGTGGCTTGACAAACTTCATCATAGGTTTGTCGTGGTGTTGATTTGCCCGGTGCAGATATAATCCAATATTCGTCTGACATAATTTGTCAATGAAATCAAATAGAAAAAAAACCAACACAAGAAATCTAAAATCAACAAATTTTCCATGTTTTGTAATAAACAAAACTTGACTAAACAAGTACTAGAAATCTATTTTCTTTTTTTGTGATGATGTTGGTTTGTCAGTATTGATTATTTCATAGAATTTAATTGGTGAATAAGAAGAACCAATGAAAATTTTTCAAAAAACATATTTATTTAAATTTTCAAAAAAAAACTTGTAATAATTTAAAAATGAAAAGAATAAACTTTTTGAAATGTTTATTTTAATTAATTTAAAAATTATCATATATCCAAATGAAAAAATATGGATGTAGAACTCTTTTTATTTCAGTCGAATCGTTTGTTTTTACACTTTCGCTTTTGTATTATCACACATCGCATTATACATATATATATGATCTTTACTGATCAAAATCTTTCTTTTCTTCTTTACAATCTTCAACCATACTATTGATGATAACTTTTTTCATGTTTGTTTTTATTTTTTTTCCTTCACAGCTAATCGACTATGTAAAAGTATGCGTACGTATAAGGCTTTAAAATAGTGAACTCAAAGACTTATTTTCTTTTTTTTTCACTTATATATGTATGTACATTTTGCTTCTGTATTCTTGTGTCAATAGACTTCGAGCAAGAGTGCCGAAAAGTGTATGCCGGTAGTCTTTGTCACTGAGAGAGATACTCGAGAAATCAAAACACTTCGCTGCATATGACTGTGATGGAGGATTTATACATAACGAAAAAAAGAAAAAGTAAAGTAGATTTTTTTTCTTTCGAACTATTTCAATGATATCAGTATTGTTGTGTTTAATAAAAAACATTGATGCATAATAAAGATTAAATCATTATGCAATCTTAACAAATGTTTTTTACTGATTTGAAAAAAAATTTCATCATAGTAATAATCGTTGTCGATCAATCTTAATCGATATCGAATATATCATTTTTCATCAGTTATGCAGCATATATTAAAGTAAAATAAAGATATTTGATCATACAATTCTTTTCTTATAGCAAATAAAAACATTTAACCATGTGAATATTTTCTCTAATCATTCGCACATCGATCATGATTATAATAATATCTTTCGATTGATTTTGTATTTTTTTAAAGCGTCCCCCAAAAAGGTATTGTTTTTTTTTCGAAATACAAATAATAGAAGTTTTTTTTTTTTCATTGCGCACTATACATCCGGCCATGATGTAAAATCACTGTTTTTTCAAGTATATTGATAACTTTTTTTATTTCATTCATCCGTTTTTTTTTTCTGTTTTGTTTCGTACTTCCATCATTTGCATTTTTTCTTGAAACTTATGTATTTTTCGCTCAATTGATCATCCTGTCAAGGACTTTCTATTAGTCATATCCGTATATATTTAATCATACATTCTTTTACGTTTAGTAAAAAAAATAACTCAATAAATTGTTTTGAAAAATCAAGGTTAGTAGAGAATTTATCGTGTACGAGAACAAAAAGGTCACGTATTTTCGTGTATGAAGTTAATTTATTGATTCGGAGTTACATTGGTGTCTTATTTAAACGAAGATTAACTTCTTTTTTTCTTTTTTTTGTCCTAATGTATGTAGGCGACATGACATACTTTTACTTTATGTTCATTTGATATAGTCTTTGAATTATTCTCTCTTTGACAAAGGAGAAAAGATGTTTACGTAATGCTACTTACTTCGAACACATATACATTGAAGGAAAAAAAAAAACATACAAAGATTCATACGTTTTATTTGTTTCTAGATCATAATGCTTAGCCATCTTCGCCGAGGACAGAATAATGAGTTCAATGAGTAAATAAGAATTACTATTATTATTATCCATATTATCTATTTTTTTTTTGTCTTTATCTAGAACTTCAAAGCCTATGAATGGTAATGCAGAACGTTGGAAATCATCAGGTGAGAGTTTATATGATTGTTGTTTTTTTTTTTTTAAATATCAACTTTATCATTAAATCTTATAGTTAATTTCTTGGTAAGTTGAATGTATTTTGCCTATGGCGGTTTTTTTTTTGTTCAATAAATCGATTTTCCAGCAGCTTTCTTTTTTTATTTTATAAAATTGATTAATAGATTTTAGTAATTATTGTTATTGCTTGCTATTTTTTGCTTTTGTTTGTTGGTTTAGTGACATAAAACTCCCACACACATAGATTTGATCAAATAATTTTTCATAGATTTTTGTCACTTATGTGTGAAGAATAGGGCGTGACAAGTGGCATGGCAATAAGATATCTATTCTTCCTTGCTCTTTCAACTTTTTTTTTTTTTTTCATCTACCACTCATTATTTGACCCCACATTATGAATACGTTCCTTATACAACTATTCGTTCTTTTATTTGGACAACTTTGATCAAGTTTTTTTTCTTTTACTTCTTCTTCTCTTCTTTTTTTTTCTTCGTTTTTCTTTTACTTCTACAAATCGATCGTCGTCGTCTGTCTACCATCAAAAAAAAAAAGAGCTCTACTAGTTATAAACAGTACAATTATTATTTTTCGTTTTTCTTGATCCGTCGAACATATATAAAGAGAAGAGGAAAAAAATTTGAAAAGAGTGAAATAAAAAGAGAGAAAAGAAAAGACAAGAATCGAGATTTTCAAAACGGCACACGTCGATCATCAACACCTTTTTCTTTTTTTTTTCCTACTTAATTTAAATAAAAACAAAACAGTTTGAATTGTCATTACTTATTTATTGGACATCAACGTGATCTATCGATAAGAGACATATAACAATATAGTAAGTGAGGTGAAAAATTTGACCTCAAATGACTTACTTTGGAAATCCACCAATTTTTCATGGTGGTCAACCTGCTAATCATTCTATGGCACGTTACCATTTTAATGAACATTACAATGGTATGTTGTTGTTGTTGCTATTGTTTTACTCTATGACCCTTGAATATAATATGACATTTATCTTAGAGAAGATCTTTTATATCTTTATGTAATTGAATAACAAAAAAATCTATTGTTTTTTTTTCTTCATCTAGACCGTGTTAATTCATCTTTTTTATCAAGTAATTTATTATCTGATGCTTATACACCACGTTCAAATTCAACTGCATACAATCCTGATTTATCACGAGCACTTCGTTTCGATGCTTATTTATTAGCTATTGTACGAATTGAAGATAGACGAAGTAAATTAATGAATATTTTTTTTTATTTTCTTGAATGATATAATTTGTTTTATTTTTATTTATTTAGATAATTTTTATTCGGCTGAAGTTGTTAGTAAATTACGTCAAAAGGAACAAACACGAAGTTTTATTAATAAACCATGTTCATTATTTATTACTGATCGTGCACTTGTTATATTTGATCGAGCATCACAAGTAAAATATTATATTTTATTGATTTTTAAAATAAAATTTTTTTTTATTTATTTTATTAGGTGATAGCAGAATCTATTCCACTTGAAAATGTTGATCCAACATGTGTACATGCTGATGTACCTGATACACTTAATGATATATTTATGTATCGTTTTATTGATCGACAATTAACACCAGTAGTAAGTCATGGTAGTGGTGCGAATAGCAGTGATTCATCATCTGTTATTGTATTTAAATGTTCAAATAATGAAGCAAAAATGCTTGTTGATAGTATTCGAACTTCTACTGGTAAACCATTAAAAAATATGAAAAGGTAAAAAATAAATATTTATGTTTTTTTGTTTTTTGTACATTATAACTCTTGAAATCTATACGCAAAAAAACAAAGAATTAACACGTCATATGAGAAATAAATACATGCGTTTAGAAATTTAGAAGATTTTTATAATATAGCTTATATTGACAATAAGTTTTACATTATAAATCATCGAATTAATCATTTCTTCTAAGCAATTTCTGATTGACATATACATATGCAATCGAAATAATGTTTTTTTGATTCTATTGTTAAAACATGACTTGAAAGGAGTGTGGAAGTATAGGAATAATAATTCGAGCCTCTCCCCTCCCCCTCCATTACGCCACAGACGGTAAATCAACAGCGTCTCGTTATAGTATATGAACTACTTTCTATTGTATTTCTGGACGATTAAGTAAAAAGATGGGTGAAGTTATATATCTCAAAATGGATAGAATAAAACAATCTTGCTGTAATTTATAACAGCATCCACATCGTGTTTCACAGTTTAATCCTACAGGAATTGTGCTAATGACTCTTTCATTTGTCTAAATAAATATTAACTATAGAGAACGAAATCGTACTATATGAAAGTCAATAACACATAATAGACATTCAAGCATGTTTTTTGATTGTCGTTTCCATCTAGTCTTTAACAATATAAAAAAAGTTTCGATCTGTAATATCCCTCGGGCTTATATATTCTCTATTATGACTAGAGATATGTGGGACTAAAATTTGAAAGTTTACCGAAACTGAAGATTATAGTTAAATATTCTATGGTTTTAAGTGAATTGTCTTATAAATCATATCAATTAGAACATCAAATTCAAGAGAGAGATGATCCACAAAATAAAAATGCATGTCGTCGAGTAAATAAATCAAAAAACAAGTATTGAAAAGTTCTTTTAGATGTCATATGAATAAATTCTGCAATTGCTTTCTCTAGACTAGGACCGAGATCCAAAAAAATTAAAATCACCAGGATCGAAGCCAATAGAAATGAAACTACCGAAGCCGAGACTAATAGAATAGAGGCTACCGGTGGCATCTAAAACACTAAAAATCACCAAGTTCGAGGTCAAAAACAAATATGCTCCTGTACATCTCTAATTATGATACATAATACAATCTTTTTCTTTCTATTTTAGTACTTACATAGATGCACGTAGTGTAATTGAACATCGTCCTACGGATATTTATTATCCTATTGCACCTAGTTCAACGCAACCAATGAGAATGGAACCAGTACAAATACATAATTATCCTGTTGCAACTAATTCAACACAACCAATGAGAATGGAACCAGCACAAATACATAATTATCCTGTTGCAACTAATCCAACACAACCAATGAGAATGGAATCAGCACAAACAACTAGTAAATTAATTAAAATTTTTATTGATTATCTATTTTTTTTTTGTTTTTAAGAAGATACATCATATATAGTGAATAATCAACAAACACGAACTGTAACTCAACAATCAACATTAGCTGCAGCAGATTATTATAAACGTTTAACAGAAGAATTAAATAAATGTTTTGATGATATTGAATTATTTGTACGTTATCTTGAAGCATTAATGGAATATACCAAAGAATTAGAACGTGATCATCGACGAAAAGATAAAAAATCAGCTAGTATGTTTTATTAACATATACGTATTATTTTTGTTTTTTTTTGTCAATTATTATTTTCTTTGTAGCTGGTTTAAAACAAATGGTTGAAAAACTTCCAGATGATCAATATTTTATTGATGTATTACAAAAATTTAAACATTCATTTAATTTATTAGGTGAACTTAAACATATAATACATAATCCAAATGCACCTGAATTAATACATTATTTATTATCACCATTACAATTTATTTTATATACATTACGTACAAAACATGTTAATCAATTAAAAATTGCACAAGATATATGGGTACCAGGATTAACCAAAGAAGCAAAAGAATTATTATTAAATTGTTTAACATCCAAAGAACATGATATTTTACGTAATCTTGGTCCAGCATGGGTTCGAACAGCGTAAGAATTTTAATTAAAAATTCAATTTTTCTATTTCTTTATATTTTTGATTTATAGTGATGAATCAGTAACAAAATTTTCTGATTATCGACCAATATTTTTCGAAGGTCAGGCTGCATGGGTTCAAAATACATCAATTGAACGTTCTCAACCAACACCCTTACAACCAACACATAATACTGATCTAGCAAGAGTTACTCATCCTTTTACTGTATTCGATGAACGACAACAATTCACTACGAGTTCTGCTCGCGTATGTTAAATAGATTCTAATATATATATATATATGATTTTCTTTTTTTGATCTATTTAGCCATCGAATCAGAATAATAATAATAATGGTTTATCATCAAACTATAATACAAAAATAGTTCAACAACCTTCACCAGCTGTTGGACATTTTGATACATCAACTGTTGATCGTTCAACTAAAAATACTATGTTAGAAAATTATAATTCTCAAATGCAAAATGAACATGCTTGGGCTATTGATCGAAAACGAGCTGGAGCCAAGTGAGTAAAACAAAAAAAGCAAGATATTTAATAAAAATTTAGTTATGCCTTTTTTTAAAAGAATTTGTGCTGTAAAAGTTGATCGTAAGGGACAGAATAATAAAGAATTAAGTGTACGTCGTGGTGAATTAATTGAAATTGAAGATAGTTCAAAGAAATGGTGGCGTGCAAGAAATTTTCATGGTGATGTTGGTCATGTACCAAATAATATTGTCGAAGAAATTGAAATAGAACATCGACCACTTGTATGTAGAAAAATTTAACATTCCTTTTGTTTTTATTTTATTCGATTTATTATAGAAAATATCACCATCAATTCCATCTGGTACAAATTTACATCATTCATTAACAACTATAAATAGTCGTTTACGTAATAATTAATCACAAAAAGAAAAAAAAATAGAAATAAAAATAAATAAATTCTCCATTTTTTTTTTCTTCTCTTTTTTTTTCTTTGTGCACTCTATTTTGATTGTCTTTATATGTATGCGTATATTTATCTAGACTAGAGATATATAATTGTTGATGTCAGCAAGGATATAAATTACAAACAATGGAATTCTAATATGAAGACAATTTCAAATCTTTTTTTTTTCTCTTGCTCTTTCTTTTTTTTCCTATTTGTTAGCTTGTATGTGCAGAACAGTATCTTTTATTTTACACTAATTGACTGCACAATTGAAGAAAATACCTATCTTATAATATGTTGCAATCATTTGTCTGTATGTATATAAAACTTTTTTTCCAAATTATTTTGTGAGTGTCTGCTTTCCTTTTCTTTTCTTCTTTTTTCTCTTTGTTGTTCAAATAAAAATTTAATACGAAAAAAAAATAACAAATAACTCTATTGTTATCGAGCATGTCGTGTATCAATAGTAACCATATTTTATCTTGTTGTCATTATTTCTGATGATTTATATTAATCGACAAGATAAATATCAATGGGCTATTGGTCTTATTTTTTCCTCTTGCGATTTATATGTATTTTGTGTTCTTTTTAATTGTATAAAAAAAAAATACAAAACAGAAAACTTTCCACAAATATATTTGTGTGTATGTATCGTGTCTTGATATATCAAAAATAATTTAATTTGTACTTGTCTTTATTCGTTCTTTCATTATCTTCGATTTCTTTTTTTTTTCTTGTTAATTGCGATATATTCGTGTTTTTTTTCTTTCGAAATTCTACAAAGAAGTTTTTCTTCTCGTTCAAATACAAAAATAAAATAAATGTGAATGAGAAAACGAGAATAAGAAAAAAATCACATCAGACATATTCATTAGCTTTTGATTTTTTTGTTGGCTCCTTTATAGAATGTGTTTTTCATTTAGACTTAATCCAGCAATAATAAAGTTACAGATGAAACATATTATATGTCCATCATTGATGCCAAGTTGTCTACTAACTATTATTCATTTCAAAAAAAAAGAATGTTGGTGATTAGTTTTTGAATAACTTTTGATAAGAATAACAAAAAGAGTTCGACTTTTCATTATTTAAGAGAAAGATCATCTTGGGTCATCGATGCAGGTTGAAATCTAGTTGATTAGCAGTTGATCAATCAGATGAATTCTTAGTGAAGGTTTTGAAAAAATACTACTAGTCTTAGATCATTTTGATCCTGAAAACAAACTCTTGAACAGAAGTGGCTACGAAGTTCAGATTTACCTAGATCGAAAGAGAAGACTTTTCTCTATCGATTAGCCATATTACACGTGAAAATCTAATGAGAAATGATTTCAGAGTTAGTTTTGTCTTCGCTACGAACTCATCTAATTGGTGCATTGGTAATCAATTAGATTTCAACGTATTTCGATGGCCTCGGATGAATCTCTCTTGAATGATGAAAACCGCAGCTTTCGTCGTCATTCCTATTAAAAATTTGCTCAAAAAATAACCATCGGCATTCTTTTCAGAAATGGATAATACTCCATCATTTTTATTTATATCCGAAGAAGTAGCTAAACCAAACAAAATCATCTACCTATGAGTAGTACGCGTAAAAATTACGAACTATCAAAATTGAAAAACAACATCCGTTTCGAAATGGATATCATACTGACAATCATTGTAAATTGCATTCTTTGTTTTCAACTGAAATGTTGCTTTTTTGTTGACACGGACACGCATGATTGCCTTGATTTTAATTGTAAAAGATTACAATAATTACTTTAATATTTATTTGAAAAATATCGTCAATAATTAAACATCAAAGTCATCAATTGTGTTTGTGAGGCCACAAAATATTGGGGCGGGGGATCTGTCGAGTGTTAGCGGTTATCCATGTGTGGTCGTATATGTTCGCACTTTTTACAGGTGCTTTTGAATATCGATCCGAATGTATTTATTCACAAGAACGAAAAACAATTTAATGTAAATCAATTTTTAGAATTCATGAAGTTTAACGTTACTTCTTGAATAAAAATACAGGCTTTTTGAAATAATGATAGTTTTAAGTATCATAATAAATCGAGATAAATGATATGATTAATAGTAGTTGACATAGGTCAGAAACCATTTTTGAATCAGGTCATACAAAAAATTGTCCTCACATTATTTAATTTCATTGGATTACAACGGAGAAAAACAATTGGTTTCTACCAATCATAACTCGATCTATTCGTATCTTACAATATATCAGATCGTAGTGAAAATATGTTTATCAACGTTTTTTTTTTTGTGAAAAATCAAATAGTCTAATTCTTTCAGATTCGATAGATTTTTCTTTTCAGTTGACTGAAGACATACATATTTGAAAATCAGAATACAACTTAAAATTTACATATAACTGATCAATTTGGTTTCATAAGTCATTATTCAATAAGTGTGGATGAACAATAACATTAAGATTAAACTCTTTTGTTTTTTGTTTTTTTATTATTTAATAGCAGTCTTTTACAAAGCAAAACAAAGAATACAACTCAATTTTTTACGGCTCTCGTATTGTTGGAATACGATTTCTCACATAACGCATAATAAATAATCCAAGACGAACAATAAATAAAATACAACAAATAATAAGTAAAGCAGATGCATAAAGTCTATTTCTATCAGCAATATCATTTCTCTTATTATTGTTTGATTGAACACCAGATAGAGCATATAATAAAACAAACCATGGTGAAAATGTATATGCCAATGAACAATAAAATATAATATTTTCACAAATAAAATAACCTATCATTCCAACAAAGAGAAAAACAAGTGCTGCAGTCGATGCATCAGTTACTGATGGAAAATCTTTATTATACATATGTGAAAACCAAATAGTTAAATTAAGTAGTGTTGCTAGATAAAGCCATGTACTATAAGCAGCTAACCCATTATGAACTAATATTCGTACAAGCCAAATATCTAGTTTTCTTTGAATATACAAAACAAAAAAAAAGAAAATGACAAAAGAAAATCATCTAAAATAAAATTCTTACCGTTTTGAATTAAAATAAATTGATCGATTTGGTTGTAGGAGAATATGAGTTATTATTGTAGGTATAAGAATCGTTATAAACATAAAGAACATGATAAATAATGCCCACTAAAATATATCAATGAATAAATATATATTTTATTATAAGACTTACACCAAAATATCCACGATCCCATATAAATAGCCATCCAATATTCAGAATCATATTTATTATAAAAAATACAAAAACTATAAAATGAAGTGTATTTGGAACAATATATAAATAACTTATATTTGATTTTCTTGGTATACGAGTAACAGCATAGATTAACCATAGTGCTTGCCAAATATAAATAATACCCCATATACTAAATGTCCAACCTTGAAAATTTAAAAATAAATTTTATTTATTTCAACATAATTATTAACTTACGAGCAGGTGAAAATTCAGTTAGATGATTCTCACTAATACCTTCTGTACGTTGTGTAAATAAATCTAAAAATTTATCTATTATTAATGATTGAATTTTTTTTTAAGAAAAAATTTTTACTATTAGAACCACTAGTAGCCAAACTGTTAAAAAAACAAGTGATTGTCAAACTAATAAATGCTGTTAGAATAAGTAAAATACGCCAGCAACTGTGTTGAAAATAAAAATTTGGATATAGTTCTTCAATGACTAAATCTCCTATGAACAATAATTGTGTAATAGATATCAAATCGTTTTATTTCTACATACCTATATTTGATTCTGAAAATCTTATCATGATTTATATGTATTACAGTTAGTCTCTCTTTTTTTCGACAAATAAATACGGTCTATTATTTGTTACCTAGTCGGTTGTTTTTTAGTTGACAAGGTAGAAATTCAAGGTTACGAGGCACATGCAGAAACATGAAAACAATGAGTAAATAAACACATACAAAAATAAGGATACATATACTTTGTACAATAGGAATATGAAAAATAATGATAGTTAATGTACAGGTGTTCGAATGGTGTTATATTTCGAACTTATAATACGCAAAAAAACATCCGTGATAAGATTTTTAAAGCTACTAACACGTGGAAAACCGCAATCTTCAAATCTTCTATATATTGGTCACCGATCATTAGCAAATATTCTACGAAGTTCTTCGAATGAATGATATTGTTAGAAGATCAATTATATTCATAGTCCACAATAAAAATCATCCTCTTTAAATAAAAAAAAAAGTAATAAAAGATTTCGAAAGTAAGGTTTTGTCTTGAATAGACATGTTCATGCCACAGTGGAGTTGGTCATAGAAGTAGGAATTATATCTCAATGAACATCTCTAGTATTCAATCATCGTAGAGATATAAGTTCTAATATGATTGGGGAAACTTTATATCATGATTCAATAAGAGATCATCAGCATCAAAAGTCTTTACATTTGATTATGAAGAATACTTTTCGAATCAAACGAGAAACTAAAATAAGCAATTGATTGATACAAAGAACGATTTTGATGATTAATAGCCAATAGAAGCGAGTGCTTAACATGCAATTCTATCTATTCAAGTTGCAAGACCTATTGATATAGTGATACGAAGTATAGTTTCGTACTAGCAAACTATCATTGGCACATATCAATTAGAAAGTAGTGCATGTGATCAGTAAAGAAATCGAAAGTAAAAAGAAAATAGAATTCAATCCAATCTTTAATCATAATATTCTTTGAATGGTTCTTTAATAGAACAATTTATAGGTCTGCTTTTAAAATAAAACTAATACATTTCAATAACGATCTAGTTTGTAGTCCTAAATTTTGAAATCATCTGATTTTTTTTCATGACTTTTTCTACTACATTTAATCGAAAAAAAGACTAAGTATACACGCTGATGTTGAATTGAGATCAATATTAAAGTCATTATCAATATGTTTCATTTTTGGATGATTATGAGCTATCTAATTTTATGTTGTTTGACTAACAAATACATATAATATATTAAATTAGATGCGGTATTCTCTCTACAGATGATTCCATAAAAGGTGAGTTTATTTTTAATTGAATTCCATTCAACTTTCTTTTTTGATGATGCATTCATGGATAACAATTGACTATAAATATCAATAAGAGAAGTATGATTGAGAGAGAAGGCAGGAAAAAAGATAGACTCATATCTTTAAAATATTCAATATACATCAGAAATATGCATTTTATAGAGTATGTTAGTATTGATAATTCAATTATTTCATTCAATTCATTTTCAGTTTTGTGGTCTTACACAATATGTTATCCTGTTTAATACACCAATTCTCATACTGTAGGTTCTGATCAAGATTAGAATTTCAAAGACTTTCTCTGTGAGGAATAGGACTGTCAACACTCAAGCAGAATTGTATGAAGGAATAAATTGTGAAATTCATGTAAGTCTTGGAGTGTCTGATAGTATTAAGTTTTATTTTAATTTGTAGCATTTCATATACACTAATATTACGAACAAAATAACAATCGTTTCAAAACTTTTCGTTTGGTAACTCACAATGAATATCTATGTCTTATTTTAGTAGACTTTCTTCAATAAAGACATGATTTCTTTATAGGAATCGATAAGTTGAGTCTTTTCGTATTTGAAATTATTATTTAACATAATCGAAAGACTTCGTAATTTCCATAAGATTACCGCTGTCGATAGGGAAAATAACAATGATCTACAAAATTCAGTTTCTCAAGACCTAGATGTCTTTACATTTACATCAGTCTAGTAGCCGGCTAGTACATTCGAAACAAAATGAAATTGTCTTCTGCTATTCAAGTAATGAAAACATGAACTGAGAATAATTATCTATTGAGAATTTCAGACAATCAGTTAAGAATAGTTCAGACTGAGCTCGAAATTTTGAGGAGAAAAATTTTTTAATTTAGAGTAAATTCAAATTCGAGAGTACTGCTACTTTTTTCTTGAGTATGATCCGAGATCTCTCATCGTATGACGGATAAGAGTGCGCTTAAAAATTAGAACTAAAATGTCGATAATGACAACTAGAAATTAGTCAGCTCGGGATGTTGGCCACACCTCTTTTGGAGTAATAAAACGTGAAAATCAATAGAAACAACTGAAAAATGAACTGGCATCGATGCTCAAAAAACCAACTAGTCCAGTGCTGATTTGCCAGTCTGATAACATCATCTAATGATGATACGACGGACGACAAGTATTTGAAAGATGGTATCTTTTTTGTTAACTCAATAATCGAGTCAGTATTAATTACCCAGAACATTAAGTAGGCAGACATTTTTACAAGTGATACTATTGTATCGAGTGAAGCTCAACAAAATTCATCGATTGATATGTGAAATGACTTCGAAAAGTAACTAGAGACTTTGCAGTTATAGAAGAAATAATCGAAAGTCAGATATGAGCAAGATGAGATCGCTTATATAAGTGAACTCGAATGTGGTTTGACTTTGGTTATGAAAAGAAGCTCATTCAGAACTATGGGTTATTTATCAATACAAATTATCTCGTCATAGATTAGATACAATTTTCTAATACAGTATAAATACAACACGTAAGCGGTCTCGTTTATGATGACATCTAGGCCAATTCGTGAGCGTTCTGTAAATGAGTATCTGTAATAGGAAACTTTTGGTATTTCATAAGAATGCCCTATTTTATTCTATCTACCATTATTTCTCAAACTCGAGCAGAAACGAAATTTTGAAGAATCTATGAATGTAAATATTTCAATTCTACTTCTCTTTCCTTCAACAATACCATCGTTCCCAAATCAAGAAATACAGACCATTTCGGACTGAAAATTTTGGAAAATGGTAGAAACTTAGAAGCTAAAATCCGGTGGCCGACTGTGCTCTGTTACGATCGATGACAACTAGAACTAGAAAAATCCAGTCACTACATATAATCGTCAGATTTCTACTTTCAAGTTTTCGCTGTTTTTCCGAGTTTTTCCACCGGAAACGACGTCTTTCCTATGAGAACGTGTCAAAAATTCACAGATCTGGGTGCCAGAATCATTGACCTGGATTGTCAGAATTGCCGAGTACTTACGACTGGACTCTTCACATACTGACTGTCATTCAACTGTTACCGTTGTTGTCCTTCAAAATATGTTGAATTGGATGAGAATTAGAATCTTGGGCAGTCAAACTTTTTGACTCTGAAATCCAACTTCGAGAAACTCTGAATTTTTGTTTTTATTTTAGTTTACTAAGAAGAATGAGTGCCTACAAGAAGGTCTGTCAATGCCTAGAGTTTAAATTTATATAAAGATAGAGAGAATTTAAAGAGAAAACAATAGAAATAATGGAGTAGTAGAGTGAGCATAAGTGACATAAAAGGAGTAAGACGAGGAAAGATTAAACACCATGCAGCAATCGGAAATTGTTAGATATAGGGTGTTACAAAATAGTGAAGAAGAAATAAGATTGAAGACACATTTATGATACACATACAGATAAAAACAATTCGGGTACTTAAAATGTTGCAGGAAATTCCTTTAGTGTATGAAAATCATCTATTTGAAACGGAACTATTGTGTCTGTTAGAGGATTATCATCATGCCACGACAAGCATTTTTCAAGGCCGCTGTTATTTTATCATTTATTATGAAGACATTATCCTTAAAAAGTATTAATGAATATTTTGTCTATGTATTTTATGCCGTTGTAGAAGAACCGGTGGAGTTCCGTGAGCATACGCCATTTGCACCACCACCAACTCGACGGCAACGATGCAGGATCGAGATTCGTTTTCCGAACCATGACACCGGTTAGAACTACACCCTCCCCAGGTTTTAAAAATTTTCCATTCTCGGCTTCGAATAAGAACTCAAGATCTTCATTGTTTAGGAAGCGTGAGTCGATGTCACCTGCAGTGCCAACGCTGAGTGTTTCACGTTTCTTCACCGGTTTCAATTTTCTAACATCGACTCGGACCTCAAGCACAAATTGATAGAACGCGCCATTGTGCACAACCACGCGTGCGTACCTCGGATGGGAGGAATAAGAAATACTAGGAGACAGGTACAGCGCTGGAAATCCATGTTGGCATTGGCGAACCAAAAATCCGTTTTCGAGAATCTTGTGAATATTCTGTGGATGTGTGCCGTGGTACAGCGTGTGCCAGTTCGGGCCCCAGTCTGGAAGGAGTGCTTCATTGACCTGCAAGCTAAGACGGTACCAATTGTTTGGAACAAAGTAGGGATATCGTTCTGGTGAAGAAGCTAGTCGACCTTCCCAATACGTGTGCAGTTTTGTCGTGTTGTGCTTAGTGCAACTCTTTGTACAGTACCCACGATTGTACTTGTGATTCCAGCTCACACGTTTAACGTGTACAAGCGTATCATGATCAATCTCCTCACATGTAACGGGCACGCAGCAATGGGGCTCAAATTGAGGGAAGCAAGCGAGACAAAACGTCTTGTCACATTCAAAGCAAAAGCGGTAGAATGTCTCTTGCGCAATAACTTCCGTGCATCTTCGGCAATTTCGAGCATCGGTTTGCTTGTGTTGAACAAAACATATCAAATGATCATCTGGACACAGATTTGACATATTAAGTCCTTAAGTGACCCAGCCTAAAAGGTAATGCAAACTCCACTAAATATACTGAATGAAGCCATCAATCATCGGTTTTCTGCCCCAAAATAGAGGAGAATGATAAGTTTTTACAAAAAGAAATAGAAACATGAGAGCTGGTCTCGAGCAAGTACTATGGCAGTTATTAATTCGACTATACGGTCTTCATAAAATATGTTAATGACTTTGACTAAAGTC